AGTCTATGAAAGAGTTGGGCTTCAGGATTCACTTTAGGTGTGCTGATGTAGTCGAAGAAGAGATTGGATATCCCTGATCACGAGGCATTCATTATATCCTATTAATACAACTATTACTCTCTCGCAAAGCCTTCAAGCTGCGACTACCTCTACCACGATTCAGTAGATCTGCTTCACGGTCGAGGAGCTCAGCCAAGGCAGCAGTCACTTCACAAGGGTAGCTCTTCACAGCCCTGAAAAACTGGCAGTCAAACTAATGTCAGACTCCCACACTGTTGCTACTACCATTTAATATGTAGTAGTAGATCCAATCGCTCATTGATAGTAAGTGTTGTGAGCCGTAGAGCCTTATACCTATCCTCAGGCAGATGCTGCTCATCCTCTTGCCCCCATAGATAACTTACAGATCCATGTACTCCTTGGCCCGAGTAGTAGAGGGTGTGTACACGAGAGTGCTATCACCATCACTCTGTGTCCATACCTTGGGTCTAGCCATAGCCTCTAGTTTCCCTACAAGTCATACAGCTGTCATCCTCATCACAATTATTACTGCAGGTGCCTACTGTCGATCTTAGTGCTCCTATTGTGTTTATGAGCATGTAACTTCAATCGATCTATTGTCTGTAATAGTTTGACTTCCTTGTCAAGTAACTGATACCACACCATCCATTCTCCCATACATAGATAGTAGGTACCTCTTTCAACGCCACCTGCTGCTCCTCCTTTGACAGAGCACACTCTTTTATACGTCTTGTCTCGTTCCGTCTCCATGCCTCCACCTCATTGTACAAAGTGATGAAGTCATCATATGTCCTGCAAAGGCGATAGAGCCCCCCCCCCCCCAAGTAGGAGTCTTTGACCTTGGATGGAGCCTGCGTTCGACCTCCCGTCTACGTATATGTTCATCCTCAATAATGGCTTCTTCCTCCTCACGCTGTCGTTGTCTCTCAAACTTTTCCCTCTCAATTCGGAGATGCCGGCAGCGTATCTGATACCACTCCTTCTCCTCCTCAATAGTATCCACACCATGCTTACTCTAGCTATCATACCACGGGTATGGGACTGTATAATGATGACCTTCTCTGCTAGTAGAGCGTCTCTGTCGGCGCTAGTGAAGTAAGGCCTGGGGATCATTATCCTATCCCCATCTTGAGTAAGATCAGGTAAGTTGAGCCGTCGAGGCTGAGTGAAAGGGTATCCTGTCCACTCCATATAATACTATTACCATGCTAGTACCCTGTTCCCGCCTTGTCTGTATATGCCTCGTCCTAGTGGTACATGTTTGAGCTTCCCGATGGTATCTACATCCACTACCACAATCGGTCCTCCCCTCACCCCCCCACGGTGATAGTACTTGGTTATGAGTTCTGACTGTTGTGTTCGATCATTAGTCTGTGAGATAGCATGGTGATACTCTAGACCTACGTCGCCCAACAGTGTTGACCTATTGTAGTTTGCCACCTACCGTTGGCCTCATTAACGTACCCACAGAGGAAGGGCTTGTCATTCACTTCCGCAATACGAGTAACAGTAGTCTGGTCTCTTTCATCTCCGGTGGATTCTACCTTCGCTTCCAT